ATATATATATATATATATATATATATATAAAGGCATTTTAAACCCTTCCCACACTCTTGCAGTATTCCAAACAATGTTTCTAAATCTAAAGGTTATTAAAGAACACAGAATGTCATGATTTCCCTCTCTCTGCCTCAGCTGCTCTCAGCCACCTGCAAACACTTTCGTCCACACCCACTTTTCCGCTCTGCACGGAGATCAGCTGATCAGCTGTGGGAGGAAGCTTATCCTGCAGTGTGGGCTGCACAAAAGTGCAGCAGGTGCTAAATAATTTAAAATAATTCCTTTTGAATGAAAATTCCATGCTGATCGTGCGGCTCATCCATCAATCAGTCAGTTGTGTGTCGTGTCCAATCTTACTTTGAAAAACTGCGATAGATCGAGTCTGTGAAAAACAAACCGCAAAGTAGCGAGGGTCTACTGGAAACTTTAAATCCAACAAAGTTAAGTCAGGTCCTCTGGACGGTTTCTTTGAGTTGAAACGTTTCGTCTTTCGTCCAAAGGACTTCATCAGTCTGAGGAAACACAACAAACTCAGTCCCACAAGCAGTGCACTCACATGGTGGGCCAACCAGTTTGATGGTGATAAGAGTCTGCCCTCTCCCCCGCCGAATCGTCTGAGGCAACCATGGTCAAACATCATGAGCTTTGATGTTTTGAAACATTTTGGCCAAGGCTGCCTCAGAGGAGTCGGCAGGGGAGAGGGCGGACTCTTATCACCATCAAACTGGTTGGCCCACCATGTGAGTGCACTGCTTGTGGGACTGAGTTTGTTGTGTTTCCTCAGACTGATGAAGTCCTTTGGATGAAAGACGAAACGTTTCAACAAACAAGGAAACTATGCAGAGGCCATTACTTGCCTTTGTTGGATTTTTAACCTGGATTACTGAGCATGAGCCTTGATAAATTTGTACCGAGCTGAGCTCTAGGGCTCTAAGCACGTGTCATATCTGTGTGTTCTGTGATCTTTTGTATCTAGTTGTCTGAGTCTGTTTCCCCAGTGTTCCTCTCAGCTCCTGCCACGATCACCTGTTCCTCATCGTTATCCCCCAGGTGTTCATCGGTGTCCCTTTAAGTTCTGCATCCCTGTGTTTTCACGTTGTCTGCAGATTGTGCTCCACAGCCGTCATGTTCAGCCGCCTCCTTTCCTCCTCTTTGGTTTTTGTAAGTTTACGCGGCCACGTCAGCGTTTTTGATTTTGCTTCTTGAAACTTACTTGAGTTCTGTCTGCGTTTGGATTCAACATGCTGATCTTTTTCATGCATTCATTCAATCTTTATATATGCAGATTAATACCAATAAGCCTCAGGGACTCGTTTACAAGAGAGACCTGATCTTGACAACAAGTATGAGTTTTGTCCAAATCCCATTGTTGTCTATAAAATATTTCTTCCATGCTGTAAGATTTACGTGTAAACCCATAATAATTAACTGTAATCAACTCCATTTAAGATTTCTGAAATATAT